CCCCCCCCCCCCCCCCCCCACGGGATCACATGCTGCTGCTACCGCTGCCACACCCCAGCTAGGAGCAGAGATGGGAGACTAGCCCCAGCTGGGGGGAACAGACAGCAGGGGGGCTGGGAGCCAGGACTCCTGGGTTCGCTCCCGCAGAATGAAGACACACAGACACATGCGCATGGTGAAGCCCAGCCTGTATTTCTCCACGTACAATAGCTTATTCAATACATTCCAGTCGTACACACCCATCCCCTCGCCAGCAGAAAGCAGCACCCCTGGCCGCCTGTCACCGCTCCCCGGAGCATGGGGGGGAACCGCTGAGCACCCCCATCCACCTGTCACCGCTCCCCACAGCATGGGGGGTACCGCTGAGCACCCCCCCGGAGCTGCCCTACCTGGGACCTAGGAAACAAGGTGTGGGCATCTCTCTGTGCAGACAAAGCACACACTGCCCTGCCCAGTGACCGAGGGGTACCCTGCAGATCAGGGACTGAGCCCCCCTCCAGTCAAGGCCCCCCCAAACTGCTCTCCGTGGCCACAGGTGGGGAATTGGGGTGCCCTGTGCTGCAAAAGTAGGGGCACCCCCCAATACACCATGATCCCTTCCTTGGGGGAGGCTGCAGGCAGGCTCCCACCCTGTGCCATGGCCTGGGGGGAGGGAACAACTCACCCAACAGAGAAGGGATCCCAAACTTTCCTGGGGGGGCAGTGGTTCATCCCCATTGCCCTGATGCCTCTCACCGCCGGGGTCCCATATCCCCATTCCTTACCTTGCCATGACCCCATTTCTCCCCCTCAGTCCCCCCCACAGCTCCCTGCCCTCCAAACTCCTCTGTTCCCAACCCCCCCCCACCCAGAGGGGTACAGAGAGTGCCCTAAGCCCAGCCCCCCACCCAGAGGGGCACAGGCAGTGCCCTCAGCCAGACCCCTAGCCTAGGTCCCATCAGTGCCCACTCCCCATGGCGTCTCCATGGCAACCGCAAGCAGCTCCTGGGCCAGTTCCTTGGGGTCACTGGTGACTCGGAGGATCCGCGCCAGCGCGGCCGCTCGGCTGGTGGGCTCCTCTGACGCCCCCAGCAGGACGTAGCGGGCACAGCGCCGCAGCAGCTGCCCCCGGCCCAGCCGCTCCCCGAGCCGGTACAGCTGGTCCAGGCTGGCGCCAGGGCGCAGGTACTGCCGGCACAACGCCTCCTCTACCAGCTCCTGCAGCTCGGGCAGCAGGAACTGCTCGGCCACCGCCAGCGTCTGCTCCGCCAGCTCCCCCTCGCCGGGTGGGAACGGGCCCCCCAGGGCCGGGCACGGCTCGCCCCGGCAGCCATGCAGGAAGTGGGTCAGCACCAGAAAGGGGGCAGGCGCCACCCCGTGGATGGGCACCAGGGCCTGGCGCGCCTCAGCAAACCCGCCCGCCAGCATGGCCCGCAGGACGTCGGAGCCGGCGCACGCGGCCTGGCGCGAGGCCAGCACCAGGGCGCCCGAGTCCAACCGGAACTGCAGGTCCGCCCCGCCCGCCTTCACCAGCCGCTCGTAGGGGCACGGCGGGGAGGCTGCCAGCCGGGAGCGCTTGGGGGCGGGCGGGGCAGGGAGGGGGGTGGCAGCGCCCAGCAGCAGGGAGAGCGAGTCCACAGCGTAGAAGATGAAGGGCGGGTCGGCATCACGTGTCAAGGCAGCCAGCAGGAGGCGCAGGCCAGAGTGCTCCAGGAGCAGCCTCCGGCAGAGGGACTTCTTCCTGGGGGGGGGGGGGGGGGGGGGGGGGGGGAGGAAATGGATCAGTCCCCGGATCGGCCCCCTAACCCCCACCCCCCACCCAATGGGCCCAGGATCTCCCTGGATCAGCCCCACAACCTCCATTCTCACCGCCTCCCCCAGAACGGCCTCCTTCCACCAGCTGGGCCCGGCCCCCTCCCCAACCAGCCCCCTAAGCCCCCCAACACCACCACATCCAGCCACACCAGCGCCCGCCCACCACTCACCCCGCCCCCCCCTCCCCGGCACCACCCACCTGCAGATGAGAGGCAGGGCCATGGCACAAGCCACTTGGTCAGCCTCGGCGCCCGAGAGCAGCATGTGGGTGAGGACGCCCGCCCCGAAGGCCGACTCAGCCTGGACGCAGAGATTGCATAGCAGGGTCTCGCCTGGGGAAGGGGCAGCACGTCAGAGCCCGGCCCCTCCCCCAACACAGAGCCCCCATCCCCCCGCCCCATGAGCCCCCCCCAAAAACACCCCATGGGATGACAGCTCCTGTGGCACAGCATCCCTCCAAATCCCCCCCACCCCATGGTGCCCAGCCCCCACCGGGCAGCATTCCCAGCCGAGCCCCGCGCCCCACCACACAGCTCCCCCTAGTGCCATGCTGGGGCACTTTGAACCCCGCAGCGGAAGTACAAGGCTCACCCTGAGGTGGGGAGCAGGAGACCCCATTAACCTAGAGCAGGGATCGGCAACCTTCGGCACGCAGCCCGGCAGGGAAAGCCGCTGGCGGGCCGGGCCGGTTTGTTTACCTGCAGCGTCCGCAGATTCGGCCGATCACGGCTCCCACTAGCTGCGGTTCGCTGTGCCAGGCCAATGGGGGCTTCAGGAAGCGGCGTGGGCCAATGGATGTGCTGGCTGTGGCTTCCCGCAGCCCCCATTGGCCTGGCACGGTGAACCACGGCCAGCGGGAGCCGCGATCGGTTGAACCTGCGCACGCTGCAGGTAAACAAACCGTCCCCGCCTGTCAGCGGCTTTCCCTGACGGGCCGCGTGCTGAAGGTTGCCGATCCCTGACCTAGAGCAAACCCCAGTTTCCTCAGTAGTGGCGGGGGGGTGTCACCGGGTTAGGGCTACCGGAGAGAGGACCCCAATACTCCGGGGACAAAGTGCTCTCACACTGGGATGCTGGGAGCCCCGTAATGCAGCAGGGTGACCCCCACAGCCCAGGACTGGGGCGCTCACCTACCCCTGGGGCGCAGCAGGGGGATCCCCATGCCCCAGGACTCAGCAGGGGGGAGGACTCACCCAACTCCTTGAACCTCCTGCCATGCCGGTGCCCGCTGCCTGGAGTTCTGGGGGTCTCTTGTCCCACGGCGGCAGCCTCCTCTGGGGGCACGCCCAGCACCAGCCAGGCCCGCAGCAGGGAGGGGGCGTGGCATCGCACAAAGGCCTCCAGGCAGACGGGGTTGCACGTGAGCCGGTGCAGCAGCCGCAGGCAGCGGGGTAGCGGGGCGGGGGCTCCGGTGACATAGGCCAGCAGCCCCCGCAGCACCGGGCCCGTCACCAGGCTGCGGCTGGGATCCTCGGCTTGGGAGAAGCGGGAGAGCAGCAGCAGGGCGGGCGCCTCGGGGGCCGATAGCTCCTCCTCCCCACCCCACAGCAAGAACTGCGGGGCCAGGACCTCGCCCGGGGGGCGGAATGGAGCCGGAGTGCAGGGGGCCGCGTCCGGATGGGGACGTGATTTGCCGCGGCGCCGCGAGGAGAAAGCAGTGGGCTGGGGCTCCAGGAAGTCACTGGCAGTCCCAGTAGGAATAGGAGAAACCAGATGTAGATCCTTGGAAATTGGGCTCGGTGCCGGATCGGACCGGCTGGTCCCAGTGGGAATTGGTGACATTGGAGGCAGATGCTCGGGAATGGGGCTCGGTGCCAGATCGGACTGGCTGGCATCGGTGGGAATTGGTGACACCGGAGGCAGATGCTCAGGAACGGGGCTTGGTGCCCGATCAGACTGGCTGGCCCCAGCGGGAATTGGTGACACCGGATTCAGATGCTC